CTCCAGCAACAAATATGGTTGCCATTGGGGTAGAGACCCCTTTTTGACGGAATCGCTGTAGCTGCAGCGTATTTACCAACAAACCTCTAGTAGAGACGAATTGGATTTGATCCCGTTTTGATCAGCTTGGTCATAAATTCATTGTTAAAGACAGCTTTACGCAAAACATAGGCTGTGAGGAAACCACAGAAAGAAGAGGCATTGCGCTGCATGAAGCGCTCAATAGCTGCTCAGCCGAGGTCCTGGCTACAGGGAGATCCACCCACTTTCCGTACAACGGACAAAGTACTCCTTCGTGTATAGATTTCGTTATATATAACAGCAACGATCTATCGGTTCGGGAAGAGTATAAGCTCTCTTCCGACCACCTGCCACCCCTTGCAACGGTCTCTACGTCTCCTCAAAGGACCCCAAGAAAGCTGATCTAAATAGCATGATTAATTTAAACACTTAGATCCTGACAGCCGAGGATGCCGACACTGTAGCTCAAACCCTGTTGGACCAAGTACATGCCGCGACTGCCAACGCTGCGCCAGTACAAATGTACCTAACACATACAAGCCAGCACACGACTCACCTATCGTTGAAGGCTATCTTTATTATTTAATTAGTTAATAAAAAAATGTATTCATGAGTTCGCCTGACGCCCTGTCTCGCAAAAATTTGAATACTTTACAAATGGCTCCGATTCACTTGTGTCGGGAACCAAGTCCTCTTGAGGAAACACAATTACCCTCAGTTAGTTAGACTAACTATGACTTGTCGTCCGATTCACTGGTAGACAGCCCTAATGGCAGATACTACAAGACTAAGTCATAACTGACGTAGTCAACGCATTTCACTGCAAGCTTCCGATACTAGCTTTTGTCCTACTCAGGATAGTAGAGACATTCCCCGGAATATCTTTCAGATATTCCAAAGACTTGTATTGGATCAAACGCGTTTCTCGGCTCTTTTAAGAATTTAAGAAGAAGTTTTAATTAAGGTTTAATAAGTTGCTGAGCGACACGAAGTGGCATAACTTTAAATTAAAGGTTTTGAGTAATTAACAGAGTTCGAAAAAGAGCGAAACTTCGTACATGTGTTTGCTTATGTAGACGATACTTAGCATAATCTTAACAAAATCTGCTTAGTACATTGTTATTGAAACATCTGATTGAGTTTATGAGGTATATAACAAAGCTTCCCGGCCGCCTTGAAAGAACTATCTTTCAAGAGATAGGAACACGGTTATCCTTTCCACTCACAACGGACTCAACACGACCTAATTTCCAATGCAAGGGCGGTGCGTTGTCCTCGTGTATGATGGCCATAGAGCCAGCTGTTAGATTTGGAGAAGCCGAAGTCCACTTTGTCCTAGCTCTAAGCTCGTTCACATATTCCGCAGACCAACGATGCCAAAATAGGTGTTTGACAGCCGTGATCTAATCGTAATGCTCTAAGTTGGAGATGTTGCTGGTGATAAGATCACGCTCAGGCAATGCGCATGGTGCAACGACTGTGGTGTTCATCTCCTCATATGTGAACCGGGGGTTGGCGAGGCTACGCACCAGCAGACCCTTTGCGCTCTTGACAGCTGCCTCCCAAAGACCACCAAAGTGTGGAGCCCAAGGTGGATTAAAAAAAAGTTATTCTTTAGAAGAACAATATGATCGGATGGCATCCTGAGTATTAGGGTTGAACATGTACTTCTTCGACTCAAGAAGCTTGACGGATGCTCCGATTGTGGCGTTGTCACAAAATATGTGAGATACTGGTCCACGACGAGCAATCATGCGTTTCAACGATTCCAAAAGCTTGTTCGATGAAAGATCTAGCAGAATTTCGATGTGAACTGCCTTTGCTGTCATGCAGACAAATATGACAATATATGATTTTGTGGGACATTTGCCACATATTCAAAGAATGGTGTGTCTGTAGACAAGTGTTCAAATGGAAGGGAACCCATGACTTGACGAAGCAGAACTGGACGATATCTAACACAGTGCACACAAGAGCGAACAATAAATTAAAGTTGCAACTGTCCGACTGATGCCTTTGGCCCTGTATAGTAATTGCGTAAGTGTAGATGCTGAACATAGCTGTGGTCAAATTGTGCTTCCTTGGGATGAGCAGGGGGTGCCTCTGTCGAGAGGGGATATCAACATGTTCGAGTCGGCAGCCAACCTTAATAAGCTCGAATTCAGAAAAGTCGTCTACGAAGGGGCTGAGAAATTTCAAATTGCTTTTTAAGCATTTGCAAATCTGCCTTGAAATAGCGTTGTTGGATGATCCAGTGCAACGCGTGAAGAATTTCTTCTGGGAACCACGCAGAAACGCAAGTCCTGTAAACCAAATTGATTGCTGGAGATCATGAGCTGGACATCCACGTGACACGATGTCAGCAAATTTCAATTTTGACGGTACATGTCTCCACTTTCCATCATCTGTTTGATCTTGTATAATGGATACTCTGTTTCCAACAAGTGTCGACAATGTGATAGAATATTGATGCAGCCAGCCGTAAGCATGTATTGACGCTTCACAGGATGAGTGCAGTTGTATGTCAGCTTGCAAGCAAAAGCGGGGTACTGCAATCGACGATAATACTTTGAGAGACGTTAGGCATTTTATCCACGCTTGATGAAGCAATTGTGGAACAGATTCATCCCAGGCGACTTTTAGCAGCCATAGCTCCTGTATGATGATTTTCGAGATGATTATGATTGGTGCCAGCATTCCTAATGGATCGAACAGAGAAAATGCAGTCGAGAGAATAGTCTTCTTTGTGGCTGTTGAATAAAATTGTTTGGGCTTAAATTCAAATAGTAGCACATCACGATGTTGATCGCAAGCTACGCCAAGGGCTATTGTGACAGCATTTTTAGTGCCCCTTAACCAATGGGAATAGTCCTCGGCGAAGTATCTCGGTGACCTTGTGTTTGATGTTCTGCACCTCGATGAGCTGGTTTGCTGCGTAAAGCAGATCATCAACATAAAACGATGATTTCACAATTGATGCGCCACTGGGAAATTCGTTCACTGCTAAGTATAGGGCCGTTCGATATGTCACCGTATTTAGCTCAAAGGTCTGCAAATCAGCATCAGGTGATGCTCTCCAAAATACATATTGATATTTCCGATCTTCTGGGCTGACTAAAACTTGTCTATACATTTTCGTACCAATCGAAAACGAAGGAGAAGTTTAAACAGATCTTCTTGCAACGTTGGGCTGGGATGCTGGGGTGGGGTTTTTAAACACAATGGTTAGGTATGTAAAAGTGTGGCTTACTTAATCTCGGATTCGGATTGACTAAGGCGCGTCTCGAGGGATAAAAATCGACGACGTGCAATATCGCTTGATTTACCACGGCACGTTGGATCTCCCTTGAAAGGTAGACGCACCATAATCCTGCCGTTGTCTATCATTGTTGTCCTTGAATACATATCTTCACAGAGCTGATATGTTCCGGATTGATTGACTTTGAAGAGATTTGTATAGCATTACTGTTCTAAAGAAGTTGAAGATTCTTGTCAATTGACTGCTTTATAGTAAGCAAGAACGTTGATGACTGCTTGGCCGACTGATGACGATACTAGCCAGACACAACCCATCCATGCAACGATTTCTGAAGGACTGGCAAATTGTCTCCGAGCTTGATCTGTCCAACAGCCAGGCATACAAAAAATGCCTCTGTACCGAGAAGAAGGCCAATCCGATCAGACCTGTTGAAAGTTTCATCCGCATCTTATCTGACGTGTTGATTTCCGAATCCGGATGGTAGGCAATGTGAGTTATTACGCAGAACAGTAGAGTTACTTCAAATGTTGACAAACGAGATTTAATTCTAGTTGTTGACCAGTTGCAGCCCACCCCGGTCACTATATATAGAGCTAAGAGCTCCTCCCTGGCAGCTGCGATTTGCAGCTCTTATGTAATTAAAAACCGTGCTCATCACCCTCTAAGGACCGACGGTAACAACCAGCCTTTCAACTGCTGGTCAGTTGGCAAAAGGTTGCCTTAACAAAACAGCGAGGGACTACGTTGTTGACCGAAGCCGTAAAAAAAAGGAAGGTACCTGTAAAAAAAACCGAAAGCCAGCAATGCTGGTGAAAAATCCACTGCTCCTATTGCCTCCTCAACAATGAGCAACAGATATGCTTCCATTGCGCCGCAGGAGGACGCCTTTTTTATCGAATACAACGAGATGGAAACTGCCGAAAAAGCGCAGCTAACTCCTGTCCAACCTGCTGCGAAGAAGGTCCTCAAGCCCAGGGCCATAACAGTTCCTGGAGTCAACAACATCGTGGCGATGGAACAGACCAGGAACCTAGACCAGGCAGTTGGTAGAGATGCCTACGAGTTCAAAGTCTCTACCGACACACACAGAACCAATAGTCGGCCAGGCCGTAACATTCATTGGCAATATGTGGTGCTTGGTACACTACCAACTGCATCCAATTGCCTCCAGCAACAAATATGGTTGCCATTGGGGTAGAGACCCCTTTTTGACGGAATCGCTGTAGCTGCAGCGTATTTACCAACAAACCTCTAGTAGAGACGAATTGGATTTGATCCCGTTTTGATCAGCTTGGTCATAATTTCATTGTTAAAGGCAGCCTTACGCAAAACATAGGCTGTGAGGAAACTACAGAAAGAAGAGGCATTGCGCTGCATGAAGCGCTCAATAGCTGCTCAGCCGAGGTCCTGGCTACAGGGAGATCCACCCACTTTCCGTACAACGGACAAAGTACTCCTTCGTGTATAGATTTCTTTATATATAACAGCAACGATCTATCGGTTCGGGAAGAGTATAAGCTCTCATCCGACCACCTGCCACCCCTTGCAACTCAACACGACCTAATTTCCAATGCAAGGGCGGTGCGTTGTCCTCGTGTATGATGACCATAGAGCCAGCTGTTAGATTTGGAGAAGCCGAAGTCCACTTTGTCCCAGCTCTAAGCTCGTTCACATATTCCGCAGACCAACGATGCCAAAATAGGTGTTTGACAGCCGTGATCTAATCGTAATGCTCTAAGTTGGAGATGTTGCTGGTGATAAGATCACGCTCAGGCAATGCGCATGGTGCACCGACTGTGGTGTTCATCTCCTCATATGTGAACCGGGGGTTAGCGAGGCTACGCACCAGCAGACCCTTTGCGCTCTTGACAGCTGCCTCCCAAAGACCACCAAAGTGTGGAGCCCAAGGTGGAATAAAAAAAAGTAATTCTTTAGAAGAACAATATGATCGGAAGGCATCCTGAGTATTAGGGTTGAACATGTACTTCTTCGACTCGAGAAGCTTGACGGATGCTCCGATTGTGGCGTTGTCACAAAATATGTGACATACTGGTCCACGACGAGCAACCATGCGTTTCAACGATTCCAAAAGCTTGTTCGATGAAAGATCTAGCAGGATTTCGATGTGAACTGCCTTTGCTGTCATGCAGACAAATATGGCGATCTATAATTTTGTGGGACATTTGCCACATATTCAAAGATAGGTGTACCCTGGACCGCAAAAGTGCACGACTGCAAAAGTGGACTGCAGCGTGGCGAAATGGTGTGTCTGTGGACAAATGCTCAGATGGCAGGGAACCCATGACTTGACGAAGCAGATCTGGACGATATCTAACACAGTGCACACAAGAGCGAACAATGAACTAAAGTTGTAACTGTCCGACTGATGCCTTTGGCCCTGTATGGTAATTGCGTAAGTGTAGAAGCCGAACATAGCTGTGGACAAATTGCGATTCCTTGAGATGAGTAGGGGGTGCCTCTGTCGAGAGGGGATATCAACATGTTCGAGTCGGCCGCCAACCTTGATAAGGTCGAATCAAGAAAAGTCGTCTATGAAGGGGCTGAGAAATTTCAAATTGCTTTTTAAGCCCCTTTGAATTCTTAGCATTTTCAAATCTGCCTTGAAATAGCGTTGTTGGATGATCCAGTGCAACGCGTGAAGAATTTCTACTGGGAAGCATGCAGAAACGCAAGTCCTGTAAACCAAATTGATTGCTGGAGATCATGAGCTGGACATCCACGTGACACGATGTCAGCAAATTTCAATTTTGACGGTACATGTCTCCACTTTCCATCTTCTGTTTGATCTTGTATAATGGATACTCTGTTTCCAACAAGTGTCGACAATGTGATAGAATATTGATTCAGCCAGCCGTAAGCATGTATTGACGCATCACAGAATGAGTGCAGTTGTATGTCTGTGAGGTCAGTTTGCAAGCAAAAGCGGGTCGACGATAATACTTTGAGAGACGTTAGGCATTTTATCCACGCTTGATGAAGCAATTGTGGAACAGATTCATCCCAGGCGACTTTTAGCAGCCATAGCTCCTGTATGATGATTTTCGAGACGATTATGATTGGTGCCAGCATTCCTAATGGATCGAACAGAGAAAATGCAGTCGAGAGAATAGTCTTCTTTGTGGCTGTTGAATAAAATTGTTTGGGCTTAAATTCAAATAGTAGCACATCACGATGTTGATCCCAAGCTACGCCAAGGGCTATTGTGACAGCATTTTTAGTGCTCCTTAACCAATGGGAATAGTCCTCGGCGAAGTATCTCGGTGACCTTGTGTTGGATGTTCTGCACCTCGATGAGCTGGTTTGCTGCGCCGTTCGATATGTCCCCATATTTAGCTCAAAGGTCTGCAAATCAGCATCAGGTGATGCTCTCCAAAATACATATTGATATTTCCGATCTTCTGGGCTGACTAAAACTTGTCTATACATTTTCGTACCAATCGAAAACGAAGGAGAAGTTTAAACAGATCTTCTTGCAGCGTTGGGCTGGGTTGCTGGGATGATGAGTGCACGTGTCGTCAAATACGACTCGAAACTTCGTTGATACACTGCTGGTTTTTTAAACACAATGGTGAGGTATGTAAAAGTGTGGCTTACTTAATCTCGGGTTCGGCTTGACTAAGGCGCGTCTCGAGGGATAAAAATCAACGACGTGCAATATCGCTTGATTTACCACGGCACGTTGGATCTCCCTTGAAAGGTAACCGCACCACAATCCTGCCGTTGTCTATCATTGTTGTCCTTGAATACATATCTTCACAGAGCTGATATGTTCCGGATTGATTGACTTTGAAGAGTTTTGCATCACTGTTCTACAGTAGTTGAAGATTCTTGTCAATCGACTGCTTTATAGAAAGCAAGCACATTGATGACTGCTTGGCCGACTGATGACGATACTAGCCAGACACAACCCATCCATGCAACGATTTCTAAAGAGTGGCAAATTGTCTCCGAGCTTGATCTGTCCAACAGCCAGGCATACAAAAAATGCCTCTGTACCGAGAAGAAGGCCAATCCGATCAGACCTGTGGAAGGTTTCATCTGCATCTAATCTGACGTGTTGATTTCCGAATCCGGTTGGTAGGCAATATGAGATATTACGCAGAACAGTAGAGTTACTTCAAATGTTGACAAACGAGATTTAATTCCAGTTGTTGTACACTTGCAGCCCACCCCGGTCACTATATATGGCGCTCAGAGCTCCTCCATGGCAGCTCTTATGTAATTAAAAACCGTGCTCATCACCCTCTAAGGACCGACGGTAACAGCCAGCCTTTCAACTGCTGGTCAGTTGGCAAAAGGTTGCCTTAAAAAAACATGTGGGACTACGTTGTTGACCGAAGCCGTCAAAAAATAGAAGGTACCTGTAAAACGGAAGGTACCTGATGAAAAATCCACTGCTCCTATTGGCTCCTCAACGAATAGCAACAGATATGCTCCCATTGCGCCTCAGGAAAACGCCTTTTGTATCGAATACAACGAGATGGAAACTGCCGACAAAGCGCAGCTAACTCCTGTCCAACCTCGAGCTGCGAAGAAGGTCCTCAAGCCAGGGACAGTTCCTGGAGTCAACAACATCGTCGCGATGGAACAGACCAGGAACCTAGGCCAGGCAGTTGGTGGAGATGCCTACGAGTTCAAAGTCTCGTTCGACACACACAGAACCAATATTCGGCCCGGCCGAAACATTCATATGCGGTGCTTGTCAAACAGGACTTGGTACACTACCAAATGCATCAATTGCCTTCAGCACCACATATGGTTGCAATTGGGGTAGAGACCCCTTTTTGACGGAATCGCTGTACTTGCGGCGTATCTACCAACAAACCTCTCGTAGAGACGAATTGGATTTGATCCCTTTGTGATCAGCTTGGTCATAAATTCATTGTTAACGGCAACTTCAACGCAAAACATAGGCATAGGAAACTACAGCAAGAAGAAGCATTGCGCTGCATGAAGCTACTAGCTCACTAGCTGCTCAGCCGAGGTCCTGGTTACAGGGAGACCCACCCACTTTCCTTACAACGGACAAAGTACTCCTTCGTGTATAGATTTCTTTATATATAACAGCAACGATCTATCGGTTCGGGAAGAGTATAAGCTCTCATCCGACCACCTGCCACCCCTTGCAACGGTCTCTACGTCTCCTCAAAGGACCCCAAGAAAGCGCAGGCTTGCCCCCCCTGGGTCGGGAAATCAACGTTTTGCGGCTGATCTAAATAGCATGATTAATTTAAACACTAAGATCCTGACAGCCGAGGATGCCGACACTGTAGCTCAAACCCTGTTGGACCAAGTACATGCCGCGACTGCCAACGCTGCGCCAGTACAAATGTACCTAACACATACAAGCCAGCACACGACTCACCTATCGTTGAAGGCTATCTTTATTATTTATCTATCCGAACATTTGTGTTGGATTAAACGCGTTTTTCTGATCTTTTAAGAATCTAAGAAGAAGTTTTAATAAAGGTTAAATAAGTTGCTGAGCGATACGAAGTGGCCTCAATAATAATGCGTACAGTTTGGGTGCTTATGGCATTGAATTGCTTATGTAGAAGAGAGTTAGCATAATCTTAACATTATCTTCTGTGAGGCGGTTACTATGGCAGCCACCCCACAGTTCATAATTATAGTATTCTTAGCTTATAAGCATTAATTATATTAGAATAAGTAAATTAAGGGCAAGAAGCCACGTAGCCAGCAAGGGCGAAATTTAAGTTCGAATTGAATCGCCGGCCGCCGCAGCAACCGTGCGTTGCTGATCGTTTGCTCAACACCGTCTTCGAGAGCGCAACTTCAATTCGGTGGCGAAGAGCGAAAGCTCCGAGGTGAAGTTGCGACAGCTCGCAGTAAGTAGACGTATGCGACAGAAGGCGGAGATAAGGAGACTTAGGGTGGGCAGCGGAGCGCTAGGGCTCCGAACAGGGCTCCGCCAGGGCTTTAACTTAGGGAAATCGTGCAAGGTAGCGAATAATAAGTGAATATGAATAAATGAAGTTAGCAAGGAAATTCGGTTAACTCTTTTAATTTTAAAGTAATACTAACTTCGGACCCCGAAGTTATCCAGTGTTCAGCATAACCTCTTCTCATAACCATCCCGGACGTGTATGTGTGAATCAGGGCTTAGTCTTTCGATCGCGTGAGCAATCCCGGTCTTGTGTGTGTTTGAACCGGGGCTTAGTCTGCTGACCGCGTGAGCAATCCCGGTCATGTGTATGCATCTCCCTCCCTATCCTATGAAAGTAGTAGGAGTCATAGCTAGTTTGAAGCACTTCCTCCCTCCTCTAGACCCATCATCCCAGCAAACTAACAAATGTCTTGTAGATTGCTGGTCCTGGTAAGACTGAGAGTTGTACCCCGGCCAGTAGCTTCCTTACAAGTGGCGCTCGAGAAGGGACCTAGGAGGCGTTTAGCGGCGTGGCATGTAAGTAAGTGTTTTCAGGAAAAACAAAGTTGCATACAGGGTGTTTTTAGTCGGGCATACCCTAGAGAGTATCTACCCTAGCAAAGGAGTAGGGAAAAAGAATGCGTCACACATTGCAAATCACACAAATCACACATTGCAAATCTAGGGTATTAGGTAGTCAGGCATACCCTAACAAGGGCCTTTTCACACCCTGTGTCGGACGATAAAATGAACACCTGCAAGATTTAGGCGACAAAATATGTGCAAAATCGAGCACAAAAGGCAGACAACGGAAAGATAACGATTGGCCGAAGAAAGTTTAGCGCGCGCGCTATCCGGGCGACATCGAGACCACGCTTGCACACGTGTGCACAAACGCGCGGCGCAGTCGACGTCGGCGTCGACGGGCCATTAAGGCGTCGCGGCAGCGGCTGTACAGTGGGACGAATTCAACTCACGAAAGATGAATTCGTCAGTACAGTTGGCGAAAGCAAATAGAACGGGTGCGTGAACAGTAAAAGCAGACAAATACAATACGAGTTAAATGGACGAGGATTTAAAGTTAAAAGAACGTCAAGAGAATTCGTTTTTTTTTTGGAGTAAGCAAAAAAAAAAAAATATATGTTAAAAGATTTATTTATTTTTCTATTTTTGTGGAGTAACCAAAAAAAAAAAAAAAAATAATAACAGAGAAAAGGAAAATAATAAAGACTAAGGGA